ATGCAGACAGTGCCTGCTTCGAATGGCAACAACGGGATACAAGCCAGATGTGAAGAGCATTGTTCAAGAGAAGGAATGCCAGAAGTCCCTGCACTAAGGCGCTAAACAACATGCATAGTAAGAGAAAAACATTATTATTATGATATTTATTGTAATATTATACTTTTGTTTGTGGACTTGGTTGAACCGAGAGTTTGTGTGTGTGAGACAGTGCACAAAAAATTCATTGTTGAAAATGACTTAGTCCTGTTGTAGTCAATTTCTGTCATAATCAAGTTGGTGTGTGACATTTACAATAAATCTGGCTGAGCAGAAGTCGCTCTCTCTCTCTCTTTGTGTGTGTGTGTGTGTGTGTGTGTGTGTGTGTGTGTGTGTGTGTGTGTGTGTGTGAGAGGAAGGGATGGCGTGATGTTTATGTATGTGTATGATGTGGCTCTTTGCAGTTACACAGTAAAAGAATTGGCTCTTCGTCCCTGACTGGTTGGCCACCCCTGGACACCTTCCTCATTCAGCAGTTAATTTAGAACTCCTTTTACACAGAACCCCTGCTTAAGAGCCATTACATTAGATTACACATATTAAATGTGCATTACTATTTACCTGTCTTTGCATTGTACAAAGAAGCTAAGGGTTCACTGTATTATTAGGAGTAATACGCACACAAGAAGTGCTAGTGCGCATACCTCTGTGGTATGTAGAACATGTGTTCTGGTTCTGGTCGTGAAAGAACACCTCCATAAACTGGCCACAGCCCGCTGAGAATCCTGAACAAAGAACTTTTGCCGCATCCGTTAGGTCCCGTGATCAACACATCCATGCCCTCGTCCACCTGACAACACACAGTCAGCAAATCAACACAACTGTTCTGTCCATCACATCATAATAATCGGACTAGACAGTAAAATAAAAAATAATAGCAAGTCAGGTGATCTGTGCTATTTGCAGAGGTGGGCATTCTGTCAGTAATGACAGATGGTCCGTCAGTGACCCGATGTTCTGACAAATGACGACTGACAAAAAAACTAAAAAAAAAAAAAAATTAAAAACTGATAGAGATGGATTTTAGTACGTTGTCATAAACGTCACGAACCAGGTCATGTACTGACAGACCCCTCAGTCTGTCAATGACAGACACCATTTCACAAATGACAGAAAGATGTCCCGTATTTTCCGCACGATAAAGCGTTTCAGAGTAAAAGGCGGACCTTCAATGAATGGCCTATTTTAAATCAGTTTTCATATATAGTGCACAACGGATTACAAGGCACATTGAATAGAAGTTCCAATAGTGGAGGTGATTGTGTGATGCGTCCACTAGATGAAGCTACGCTAAAGGGAATAGAATACATTACAATACAGATTTATTTATGTCGAGCCTTCACAACTGCTGCAGCTATAACAAAGCGTTTTACAGAACATTTAAAATACTACGTCCAAGAAATCAGATTATTGATCCATATATAAAGCGCATCGGATTTTAAAGTGCACTGT